CACATCTTGCACACGTGCCGCTCACCTCACTCTGAACCTCACACCCGGCCGGCGCTCTAACCGCTGAGCCGTCAGGGGCAGGTACCTTGGTTTCGGGCACATCCCCACTAGGGGGTGTGCACGAGGCAGCTGATGGATGTTTCTCTCATCCATGTTTCTGATTCTCTAGCCCTCTCCCTGCCTCAAAGTCAGCGGTTCTCAACCTGTGGGTCGAAACCCCTTTGGCTACACATTAACATGCAGATCCGAGAACCCGGAAGAGGGGGAAAATGGCAGACTTGGGATTTTCATCGTCACACGGCTTCACTCACCAATTTCAGGACCATTTCTTTGGCGAATCAAAGGGGAGCTTCACTGGGACATTCGACCAACAACACCTTGTGCCTCTGGCTCTGCTGCTGACCTTGCAGCTAAAGCCATGGGACCGTGACCAAAAACTACACCCACCATTTCAGCGATGCTGCCACGCCAGCCATCATGCCATCCCTGGACCGAATGAGGTCAAGGCTCTGTGTCTGCACCACTTCCCTCCCAGCACTGACAAAGGATTCGCCAGACACTGCTGCACTGAGTGAGCACCCTCCCTGACTAGTATGTTCCTTGGGGTCTGCTTTACCTACAGACTGCTGAGGACTTCTTCTGGCAACCTCATGCTCTGTCATTGACAAACACTGGCTATTGCTTCCATTCACTTTTTCAAGTGGCCATTTCAAACCGTTCCCAGCCGCCTGGACTACAAATACACATGCTCTCCTGCTCCTCTTGACACCACTTGCTAGAGGCCTTTGCCCGTCCTGAACGGAACTTTTACAAGCAGGAACCAGTGCTTGTTCATTGACGAACTTTCTGACTCCACCACAGTTCCATCCAGAACAGTCACTGACTGTGTGTGAAACAAACTGATGAAACACAACACATCTTTCACAATCACAACATGGGGGCATCCTAGCTCTTCTTCTTTTCACTCCCTTTTGGAAATAGATGATAGAAAAATGGCTACAAGAACAACATTGGGTCTTTCCATCGTTGAAAATGAGCATATTTTTGAAATTATACCAAAGCTTCATAAACTCTGAAGAGAGTTGAGAAATAGAGCACAATCCAGAGAACGCATTCTATGCCACGCATCATGTGTGAAGATTTCCCCAAACAGAGTAAAGCACAAACCGATACTTACGTTTTGAAAATCATCATCATATCTAATAATACAGTAAATGGATCTTCATGACATAAAAAAACTAAAAACAAAAAAAGATAACATATGTGTCTTAATAGATACTAAATTAGGAAAACGCCTTTCTTAGATCCTACAGTTCCCTGGCATGTAGAATGATTCCTAATCTATTTCCAGTCAAAAGTGACTAAAGCAAAAGGTAGGCCTGAGACAGAGAGAGAAAGAGCAGCAAGAGATTCTACATATAAGGAACTTTGAGCTACATTTATAAAGGTCGCACTTCCACCTTCTTAATCCAGGAACGCCCCTACTCAGCCAATAGGTTTGAGCACATATTGCAGTAAAGGTGGGGAGGTGGGGAGGACATTGTAGTGGATGTGGGTTTTAGCACAGCCAAGAAGAAAGAGTTCCTTGTGTACATTCCTATTCCTCTTTTCAATCATCACTACAGACGCCAGCAGCACTATTCCAATGTCTGCCACTTCTATCTCCCAGTCATGTCTCCCAGATGTAGAAGTCTGAGCACCCCAGTCATGACAACACTCAGATACAAGAGAGACAACATGTGCACCTGAGGACCACATCCCACACAAAGGTTTATCAAACCTGCAGGTAGGAGGACAAGACTATGAGTCCTTCCTGGCTGCAAAGTGATAGTCGCTGCAAAAAGAAAAAGAAATCAGGTGGACACATTGCAAATAGAGTCCTGAGGCAAAAATTGGTCTTTCAAGATGCTAGTTTATTATGAGGTCATGACAGCAAGAGCAGTTTTGGTTTTTATAGCTAACAAAGTGCAGAGATTACCGCAACATCTGCAGAACAAGCAAGTCCCTAAAGACAGACATTGGAACATTTTCCTAAATGTAGATGTTTATGGCCCAAATGGAAGACTCATCTCACCCTGGTCGGTGTCTCAGTGTTTAGAGCTTTGGCTCAGACCTGAAGGGTCAGGGGTTTGATTCCACTCAAGGGTGCATAACTGGGTTGCAGTTTCCATCCCTCGCAATGCATCTGTCTGGGCATTGCATCTCTTTCTCTTTCTCAGAGTCTCAGTCTCTGTCTTTCCTTCCCTCCTTGGCACTCCCTCTAAAAATCTATGGACGAACATATCCTTAGCCTGGCCAGTGTTGCTCGGTCATTGTGTGTCAATCTAGGATCCATTGGTGGTCAGGGCAGATGCCTTGGTGGTGGGTTTGACTGCCAGTAGGGTGCATGCGGGAGTCAGTTTACGGAAGATTCACTCTCATCGCTGATGTTTCTCCCTCTCTCCCAACCCCTTCCTCTCTGAAATCAATAAAGATGCATTTGAAAATGTGATTTCTTTAAGGGAAATAATGAACCTAAAATCTTGGGCCGAGATGCAGACTTCCCCTGACAACAGATGAAAACTCCACAGGTTGTGCTGTCTACCAGATGCTCAATGGCAGCAGCAGTGACTTCTGCTTCTGGAAAATCAAAGGAGTCTTACAACAGGCAGGATCTCAGGACTGCTTCAGGCAATTGCGTGGGGGTCCCAGACAAGCGCCCTCTGCTGACGCCAGAGAGCGGTACATCTCAGACACCAACTGGAGATGGGACCCCACCATGGCCTGCCACCCCTCAGTCTCCAAGACATCCTCAGCGTGAGAGTTGATGAAGTCCACTGCCTGAGGTTTCAGTTGATCTGCTCTGTGGAGGTCAGCCAAGGTGAGCATTTCCGCAGCATCCTCCTCAGAGAGGTGTCTGCTGAGGGCTTCCTGGCACATGACCTTCAAACGCTCCAGGGCATACTTGTCAGCAGCTGCCAGCAAACCATCAGCCATTTTGTCCAGGTTCGGAGCCTTCTCCGTGTAAATGAAGCACATCATTTCCTTAAAAACTCCAGGCTCACCAGAACCGGTTTGGCTCAGTGGATAGAGCGTCGGCCTGCAGACTGAAAGGTCCCAGGTTCGATTCCGGTCAAGGGCATGTACCTGGGTTGCGGGCACATCCCCAGTAGGGGGTGTGCAGGAGGCAGCTGATCGATGTTTCTAACTCTCTTTCTCTCTCCCTTCCTCTCTGCAAAAAAGCAATAAAATATATTTTTAAAAAAAAAAACAAAAAAAAAAAAAACTCCAGGCTCCATGTCAATGATTTCAACCCGACTCTTGTTGCTCTCCTCCATTGCATGCGCAAACATGGCCCTAAACACTGGGGAACGAGCTGCTAAGATAGCTATTGTGAGCCTGGAATTCCTGGCCAGCAACACAGAAACAACAGTCTGTGAACCAGGAATGTTCCCGAAGTCCTCCTGGCGCATGGGCCACCTGGCACTCAGGAACCGTCACCATCTCCGTGGTACTCTGGCCAGAAATGGTGAAGGAATCTTGCACCACACTCACCTCAAAGAAGAGGGCCAGCTTGTCATCAGGGAGAAGACTATTGTCTTCATCCAAAAGAACATCTCTATGGATAAATTTCTTGAACCCCAGTCTTTTGCCTTGTACAAAGCTATATGCCCAGTGACTCTCCAAAGATTTGATTTCTTCTCCCTTGTCACTCAGGATGGAGAGTTTGAATTTTGCCAAAAATATACACTTTGGAGAACTGACCAGAGACAGGTAAAGTGACAGGTAATCTTTGCTTACTGTATCTAGCCCTTTTGGGTATACCCTCAAACGCCATGTCAGTTGATCAATGGCTTCTGATGAAAAGGTGGAACTTTGAATGACGTCACCCACTTCCTGCCAGCAAAAGCTAAAGTCACTGATGGTCCACATGTGGGAGAATTTCACTACCGTGATCTCAGTGTGGCACCAGCTCTCCGCTACAGGGCCACTCAACATTTCTGCTGGAGGTGGCCGACTTGGGACCCTCGACATTGCAAGTTTGAAGGTTCAACAAGATTTCAAAGTCAGAGGACAATGATTTCTGTTCTCTTTTCACCCACGTTAAGTCAGCAGTGAGAAGATGAATGTTGGGGTCCAGCCCCAGCAGGTCCAGGGGTTCCCAACAGTGTGGACAGCGTCGGCGAAGAAGGAATGACACGGAGACAGCGTTCAGATGATCAGCACAGCCAGCTTCTCTAGCCAGGTTCTCTAGCTAGGTTCTCTCTTTATTCTCCTGTTACATCTGTGTTTATACCATTTGATTTTAATCCTATCCATTCTATTCCAAAGGTTAGGGCATTTCTTATCGCCATTCCAATGTCACCACTCTACTCTTCTGTTCAGCTACAAGGAAGTAACTGAAGGAGATTCTCCTAAGTAAAGATTATGTAGCTTAAGCCTGATTGTTCATTGTTGAGGTGATTAACTACCCGCCTGGCGCTTAGTTAGGGGTTTTACTGATTTATTCCCTTCCTTGGTCTTGTTAATCCCTAACTCCAGGGAAAAATTCCCACCTGGGGAAACAGCCTTTCTCAGACAGGTGACCCTGGTTAAAACACATAGCACTGAGAATGGGAGCAAACATATTAAGAACACTATGCCATATATGCCAGGTCCCTTGAAACATATGCTCCTGAGCAGCTGGCTGGTGAAGGAGGGAAGCCCAGGCATACATATGTGCACGTGCTTAATATTACACAGTGGTTAGCGCTTTGGAGAAAACGGGCCCAAGACAAGTGCCTAGGGATCAGTGTGACGGGAGGGTGGGTGTGTCAGATTCACAAGGTCAGAGAAGGGCTTTCTCAGGAGATAACATTTACAACACCTGTGGCACAGGGTCCCGAGCAGAGGAAAGAGGTGGGGTATTGAGCTGGCTGAAGGCTACTCCCTTCTCAGTCTCGGTACAGAGGGTGAGAGCAGAGGTTGGACAGATGCCTAGCAGCCTGGAAATACAGTCCCTTTGATCCAAGCTGAGATACTGGGGACTTTCCTGATTGAGACGGGACAATTGGGCAGTTTTCAACTGCAGACTCGCATGTTCTAAAATTATGCTTTGTTAATTTTTTGGAAAATAAACTTCAGTGGGGAATCCCCTCTGAGATTACTTCAACTGCAAGTGAGAGAGGAAGGCGGATTGGCTGGGGAGGGATGGGAGTCAGGAGTGTAAGAAGCAGAGTTGGGGAAATACTTTTGTTGTTGTTGTTAATCCTGACCCAAGGATATTTTTCCAATTTTTTTTTTTTTTTTTTTAGAGAGAGTAGAAGGGAGGGGGAGAGGCAGAGTGAGAGAGAGAGACATCAATAGCTGCCTCCCACACACTCCCCAACCAGGGCTGGGGATTGAGCTTGTAACCAAGGTACGTGCCCTTGACTAGAATCGAACCCAGGACCCTGGAGTCCCCAAGGCGACGCTCTATCTACTGAGCCAAACTGGCTAGGGCATGGTTGGGGAGATATTTTGAAACAGGACTTCCTATTGTATTTGAAATAGGCTAACACTGAAAGAACTCAAGTAGGAATACTGTGTGAGGAAAGACATATTTCCATTTTATGATTTGTGGAAAACTGAGAGAGAAGCAATTGCTAGTTGGGGCCTATGGTTTCTCTATTTTTAAATATTTTTAGTGATTTGAGAGAGAGAGGAAGGGAAACGAAGAGAGAGATAGAAATATCAACATAGATCAGCTGCCTCCTGCTGGGATCGAGCACAAAACCTGGGCATGTGCCCTGACCAGGAATCAAACTGGTGACGTCCTGGTTCATGGGTTGATGGCCAACCACTGAGCAACCTGGCCAGGCCTGTGGTTTTTCTCTTTAACATGACTTAGAAGATACATGTATATGGAAAGGTCACTATAGTCCCACCCATATAAGGCGTGAAATGGCTTCTGATGGTCCTTGAAAGTCTCTAGTTTGCAATCTGTAAGACCTTTTTTCTTTTCAATCCTCATCCCAGGATATTTTTCCATTGATTTTTAGAGAGAGTGGAAGAGGGAGGGAAAGACAGAGAGAAATATCGATATGAGAGAAATACATCGATTGGTTGCCTCCTACACACGCCCTGACCAGGGCCCGGGCTGGGGAGAAGCCTGCAACCAAGGCACATGCCCCTGATGGGAATCAAACCCAGGACCTTTTAGTCCACAGACTGAGGCTCTATCCACTGATCCACACTGGCCAGGGCTGTAGAAAAGATTTTTTTATTTTAAATATATTTTATTGATTTTTTACAGAGAGGAAGGGAGAGGGATAGAGAGCCAGAAACATCAATCAACTGCCTCCTGCACACCCCCCACCAGGGATGTGCCCGCAACCAAGGAACATGCCCTTGACTGGAATCAAACCTGGGACACTTCAGTCCACAGGCCGATGCTCCATCCACTGAGCCAAACGGTCAGGGCTAGAAAAGACTTCTGATATGGGGTCTCTGGATTTCTGAGAAGATGAAGTGCAGACAAAGAAAAAGAAAAATAGACTGTGAAGGAACACTTTGTGGGAGGCAGAGCTTCACTGTCAACACAGTAACAATGATTCCGGGACCAGGTCTTACCAGGAGACAGAGCGTACGGCACAGGCAGCCTTGCCCACACCTGCCCTGACCAAAACTTTCTCCTTCAGCAGAACCAAAGCCAGAGATCCACCCATGTCCCTCCTGCTCTGTGGCCTGCTCCAGTCAGACATTCCTCAGCCAACATGTGAAACGCAATCACCCCTCTGAGATTCTGCCAGGAGCACCTGCAGGAAACCACCTCCAGTCAGAGGAACCCGGCCCAGAGCGTCAGAATCAACAGCAGCAGCAACAAACTGGTCCACACGGCTGGAATGACAAAGCTGAAGGTCAAGAGGTCAAAGGAAGGTCCAAACCTTTGCTTAAAAGGATCAGGCAGAGGGGAACTTCAAGGGCCTCTTTCAAGCCTCCCAACAGACATATGGGGAGCTCCAGTGAGCGTGAGAGAATAAGGGAGGAAGAGCCCAGCACAGGCCAGAATGTGAATCACAAGAACACAGGCAAATTATTTGTGGGAGTAAAAAGGTCAAAAAGTGTAACAATCAAGCATGGAGGGTGTGGGCAAGGCTTCAATGATGGGTCACATATCGACACACACCAGAGGACACACTCAGGGGAGAAGCCATATATTTGCAGAGAGTGTGGGTGAGGCTTTACACATAAGTCAGATCTCATCAGACACCAGAGGACACACTCACAGGAGAATCCCTATGTGTGCAGGGAGTGTGGGCGAGGCTTTAGAGATAGGTCGACTCTCATCACACACCAGAGGACACACTCAGGGGAGAATCCCTATGTGTGCAGGGAGTGTGGGCGAGGCTTTAGAGATAGGTCGACTCTCATCACACACCAGAGGACACACTCAGGGGAGAAGCCCTATGTGTGCAGGGAGTGTGGGCGAGGCTTGACAGAGAAGTCAACTCTCATCACACACCAGAGGACACACTCAGGGGAGAAGCCCTATGTGTGCAGGGAGTGTGGGCGAGGCTTTACACGGAAGTCAACTCTCATCACACACCAGAGGACACACTCAGGGGAGAAGCCCTATGTGTGCAGGGAGTGTGGTCCAGGCTCTAGAGTTAAGTCCAATCTCATCAGACACCAGAGGACACACTCAGGGGAGAAGTCTGGTGTTTGCATTGAGGGTGAATGAGTCATTAGCCCTAAATCGCACCTCAGCAGCTGTAGGTCAGTGTAGGCACCACATACCTCATATCCCAGCTCTGAGGGGCTTCAGAGGAAGCCTGCTGGCCCCTTCCCCTCCCCAAGAGTGTAATTAGTACAGAAATAACTGGTCAAACATCCTCCACCTTTATGAGGAGAGGCAATAGACAAACAGTTCCTTAAGTGCTATGGGGATGTCAACACCAATGTCCCCAAAGGTGTTTTTGGCCTCGTTTTAATAAAGTTTGTGTCCAGACAAACCTGAAGCTGACATGCCTCATCCCCCTTATCACTGAAAGCAGAGTTCCAGGAGGGCCACAGAGAACGCTCAGCCACAGACCTGAACCCGGGAAGGCGGAAGCTGACATCAGTCCAGTGAGGTTCCTGCCAGGGAGAGGGATTGAGACAGACTCATCAGGAATGAGAATAGCCCCCCACCAACCCTTGGCTTCTCCTGGCTCCTCCCCTGATTCCTCCAACCTCTGAAGGCTCGGGTGAAAGCCAGGGAGGGTGTGCGTGTGCCCCCGCGCGCGCGCGCGCGTGTGTGTGTGTGTGTGTGTGTGTGCACGTGCACACACCTGTGCTACCTCAGTCTGAGCACTGGTCGCCCTCTTCTTGCTGCCTCTATAGCATCGGCATCTCGCCTGGGGTACAGCATGTGGGCACCAGGTCCATCCACAAGGGTTTGAGTCTCAGCTCTGCCTTCACAACTATGTGTCCTAAGGACAGACCCCCAACGTCTCTGTGCCTCTTTCCAATCTATAAAGTGGGAGGGTGGCCCAGCCTTTGGAGTGTCGTTCAGAGTGGGGTCAGCACCGGCGCCTCTGGCTCAGGGTGACTAAAACGTGCGTCTCTCGGTGAACAGTGTCTGCCAGGCCTTGAGGTGACAAGGGAGGCAGAGGGACTGGGGGCCCGGGAGCCAGTTCAGAGCTCGAACAGCCCCACTGCTCTCTGCGTGGACTCGGCTGCCTGAGCAGGAGGCGTGGGGTCAGGCATGCGCCTCCCCCCGGCCACCCCCTCCCACTGAGCCTGAGCAGGCGGCACTTCGAGTGACCAGGACACCAGGCCCGCGCCACCCTGCTGAGAGCTGCTGGGTGCACCGCACCTCACAGTGTGTGCGAAGCCCACCTCGCAGCAGCTCCTGGTGCTGGCCTTGTACCTGGGTCCGCGGGTCTAACCCTCCCCTGACCCGTCTAAAATCCTTAATTGCACGTTTCTTACGGGGAGTCTGATGGGCCCTGGACCCGCGTGAGCAGAGCAGGCATGCCGTGTCGGTCATCCTGGACACTGGTTCACAGGTAACGTCCACCGAGGCCGGGAGC